CTTGTATTACAGGCATGAGCCACCATGCCTGGCCTTTTTCATGTATTTACCAGCCATTCTGATTTCATCTTCTGGGAATTTCCTGTTCATAATCTTTTCTCAGTTTGCAGGTTTTTTCTTATCAAATTGTAGGAGTTCTTTGAATGTTGGAGATACATGTTGTCTTATATGTTACAAATAGCTTTCCTCACACTATCATTTGCTGTTTGATGATGATTTTGGAACCTTCTTTTATTGATCTGGTTAAGCGGTCTGGGGTTGGTGGTTGATCAAATACTTGAGAATAGGGATTTATTCATTCAGCTAGCCTTTGTTGAGGGCTGGAACTTTGTGGGATGTCCATTCAGTGAGGACAGCTGTAAATCTTGACTTCTAGTTTACGTCACTGATGATGGCTCTCAGCTTTGGTTCTACCAGATTCTTGAAAGAGAGTGTGTTTTCTCAGAGCCAAGTAGACCCAAACATTTCCCAGACTTTGGCCACATAGTCAGAAATTTCAAAAGAGTTCTGGAATTTGTGGGCTTAGCTCCAGTCGCCAGGCATACGTTGTCTTCCCTGGGGGCAGAGATTGCCTTCAGCTTACTCCACCCTCCTCAGCTACGCAGCGTGATCCGGGCAGATGATGAATACTTGAGATATCCCCTGTGGGGTGAACTCCAGAGGTAGCCTCAGAAACTAGATGTGTAATTCACATGGTCAAAACCTGTCAGGCTCTTCTGAAATCGTGTGACTTCCTATCAGGCACCAGCTCTGCAGATCCTCAAAGGTCTGGCTTTCAGAACACTGGCTTTCAGAACACTGCAGCGCCCAGATGCTGCCTGTTGGAGCTGCAGGTCCTGTTTGAATTTGAACAGTAAAAGGCCCCAGAATGAATGAGCAGGGCTCCTGATTGCACCTGCAGGTTCAGGTTTAGTTTGTGGAGACGTCTCACGCAAGAACTGTCTGTCTTGTGAGCCACTTGGGGGGGTTCAACCAAATTGGCCAACAAAATTTGATACCACACAAGCCCTTTTCTTGATAAATCAATTTAATAAGCCTCTATCATAAGTCTGTACGACCTGCCATCCACTATGTCAAAATAAACAAAATGTTCATGTTGATGGTCACAAGTGCAGTCCCTAGAGTGGAGATCCAGTGACCCGTTTCACCACTAACTAGCACTGGATCATACACCAGATCCTTAGTCTCTCTACGTCTCGGCTCACTCAACTGCAAGATGTGGCCACTAACAGTACCTAGGAAAAGCTGTTGGGAGGATTAACTTGGGTCATGCATACAAATCCTTAGAATAATGCCCAGCGCAGTTGTTGTGCAATACATATTGCAAAGTTCCTGGTATAAACTCCCTGTTGCAGCCTTCTAATTAGACTTCAATAGATTGTTGGTACCATTTCCCTCTTTCTTGGCAGGTATCCTATCTAGGCCTAGAGAACTAAGGTTTTGCTGTTTATTAATGAAGTTTCTTAAATCCCATACAAGCGAGTTGCATCCTACTAATTCTTCACAGAGTAGATAAAAACACTTTTGCTGAAGTCTTAACTGCCTGTCCTGAAGTGAGCCAGGCCGTGTGTTAGCACCTTGACTCAGTGCAGCTCCCAAGAGAGGCAGAGAGAATACCCACAGCAAAGACACACGAGCGGGTGGCAGCAGTGGCAGCGCAGGACCAGGAAAGACACTGGATCTTTCTATCCCCTCGCATTTTGAATCTGTGTTACAGTCAGTCGTATTAATATGAAGCAATCCTCTTTCCTCTCTCCCTAATCCAGCCCCTGACTGCCAGGTCATAAAAGAGGGCAGAAGAAGAACTACATTTAAAGTAGTGATTATCTCTAACTACAATTTTAAATCCCTACATGTTTGGCTGTAGAACTAGCCAAAGTTTTGTTCCAATTCTCCACCAAGTTTCACAATAGTCAGAAGTTAGAATTGGTCTGTATGTTATGAAACAGCTAGTTTTTAGATTTCAAACTTAAAAGGAAGCTTTAGTTGTTTATTATTACCGTGGACATTTTCCAAGAGACAGAACGACATCTGTGGAAGATTCTACAAAGGTCTTGATGCCAGACGTTGTGGTTACTTCCCTGCTCAAAGCCAATGGTATGTGCTTCAAGGAACTCCCCGGCTGTAAGCAGTTGGCTGCCTCAACAACAGTTAGCTAATGTCTTAGCTCTTTTCTGTCTCTACTGTCAGCTCCTTGGGGATGTGACTTGAGAAAGCTCTCCCCTCCCCATTTTCTCCTGTAACCTCTTTGGAGGAAGTTGCCCGAGTAACCACTTTGTTTTATGCTAGTTTTTTTTCCTTTTTTTTTGTTTTTTGAGACAGAGTCTCGCTCTGTCGCCCAGACTGGAGTGCAGTGGTGCAGTCTTAGCTCACTGCAACCTCTGACTCGCGAGTTTAAGCGATTCTCCTGCCTCAGCCTCCAGAGTAGCTGGGATTACAGGTGCATGCTACCACGCCCAACTAGTTTTTTGTATTTTTTGTAGAGACAGGGTTTCACCATCTTGGCCAGGCTGGTCTCGAACGCCTGACCTTGTGATCCGCCTGCCTGGGCCTCCCACAGTGCTGGGATTACAGGCGTGAGCCACCGCACCCAGCCCTATGCTAGTTTTGTTGAGTGCAGGGGAAAACACTTCCCCACAGACGCAGGACAGAAGTTGAAGAGTGGGGAGGAGGAGAACACACACAGTCACTGAGCACCTGAGCTATGCTGTGTACCCGGTGTCACTGAGTTCCCTCATCAGCCTGCTGAGACAGGCCTTGTTATCCCCATTTCACTGATACAGATGGATGGTTCTCATATGGAACACACATCTCTTCATAGTGCACTCCTTGCCCCGGCAGATGAATCAGAACTGTTAGAACCACAATGGACTCTACAGCCCAAGGTCACACAAGTGGCAAGTGACAGGCAGGACTCAAACCCAGGTTTATCTTTCTTAGGCCTTTGCTCTTAGTTTGTCAATTAAGCAAGTATAGACACACAAAAGCAATCTGTTTCTATGTAGGAAAAGTGTTTCCCTCTTCCTTTTTCTCAGTCTGGGGAGATGCCTCTCTCTAGTCCCCCGGAACTATCATATGCTCAGTTTAGCACCATTTTTGTCTGGTTCCTCGTCTTAGAATATATTCTGTTTATTCACTTCCCTGGCCACCTGAGAAACCCTTTTACTAGTTTAATACTGCTTTCAGTCCAAACCAAACTCCTTGCCTTGACTACCTAGAAAATCTCTCGTTGCTGAGCCTTAACTCCCCTGAACCGAGAGTCTCACCCTGAAACTTGGTTGAGAAAGGCCAGAGCTGGGAGGCAACAGCCTGAATGGAAGACGAGGGTCAGCTACCACCAGGGGGGGCAAGCCAGACCAGCCCAGCAAGCAGGAGCCGAAAGGTCAGAAAGCCGGTGAGCATGGGGTGGGCGGCAGGAGCAGACCAGGCCACATAGGCCATGTTGCCCCTTGTGGTGGCTGCTGGGCACTCGCCATGCCTGTGCTTGTCTCACTCTGCCATCTTGTCATTCATGAAAGTGCTCAAGAAAATGCCTTCTACCAGTCTGTGCCTGCTCAGTCTCTTAAGAAGTTTTGGGGCTTCATTTAGAATTAATTAATTTAGAACTAGCATTTAAAAGTTAAACAGGCTGGGCATGATGGCTCATACCTGTAATCCCAACACTTTGGGAGGCTGAGGTGAGCAGATCACTTGAGGCCAAGAGTTCGAGACCAGCCTGCCAAACATGGAGAAACCCCATCTCTACTAAAAATACAAAAATTAGCTCAGTTTGGTGGCGGGCGCCTGTAGTCCCAGCTGCTACTCGGGAGGCTGAGGCAGGAGAATCACTTGAACCCAGGAGGCAGAGGTTGCAGTGAGCTGAGATCATTGCACTCCACTCCCACTTGAGTGACAGAGTGAAACTCTGTTTCAATATAAATAAATAAAAATAAATTTTTAAAACAGCTTATAAGTTAAAATATAAATGAAATGAAGCAAAGAGAAGAATATTGAAAGAGATGTTTAATGAGGGGCAAAGCATGGCCTTGACCCAGCGTCTGCTAAGAATGGATGGCTCTCATTTGGCACAGATGTTTTTCCATAGTGCACTCCTTGCCCTGGCGGATGAATCAGAACTGTTAGAACCACAATGGACTCTACAGCCCTGTTTTAGGCAGCACCCCCCCTTTAGGGTTAGACAGCTGAAAGCAAGAAAAGATAGGTGAGAAGCTCAGCATTACTCAGCGAGTAAGTGGTTGGTACTGGAATCAAGTTCTGCTTACTTAGTCTGAAATTTTTCAGCCACTTCATGCCATTTGATCAACCTATTTGCCCTTTGTTTCTGAATGAAATGGAAAAAGTAATTCCTTCCTTCCTTCCTTCCAACAAAATTACTGCCATTCCTATTAGTGTTACTACCACTGCTGGTGAAAATGTACTGAGCTGGTGCCATGCATCAGGCCTTATGGCTAAGGCTTTGCATGCATCATTTACTCTTTCTGGTAACCCCAGAGTAGGTACTATTACTGTCTGTTTACAGGGAAGACAATGGAGGCCAAGAAGGATTAAACAGTTTCCTTGCATCACACAGCCAAAAATGGTAAAGCCAGATTTGAAGTCTAGGCTCTTTGATTCTGGAGTTCATGCTGGTAACTACCGGCTATCCATCTGGCAGTGTTTTGTTCTTTTGTTGAATTACTAAAACAGAACGATTTTCTCCGAATGCAGAAGTTGAAACCTGTTGAGGAAATTCAACCAGAGTATTTCTTGAAGAAAAAAGAAACCATTTCCTGATTTCTTTGTTTGTTAACCCTATGACATCATTAGGGTTGGTAGTAGCTGCTCCTTTGCCTTCACTCACAAGAATAAAGTGCAGATAGTGTTTTAGGAACTACTGAAGCTGCTCAGAGGGCCAGAAGTGGGACCCTCCTCTGCTGTTTTCTCTGCCCTACACCTGCCCTTTTTAGCTTGTGGAACTCATCATCCCCGCCATCCGGTAAAGGCTGCAAAGGACCCCAGACTAGTCCCTGCAGTGAGTATCGATGTTTTTTTCTTGCTTCTTACCTACTACAAACTCTGTCTTGCCCATGGTCAAACTATTATCTCTAAAACTCCAGCTTCAGGCTACCTCTGACCCTTTGAATTTGCCACAGTTAGAAAAATCAGGAAAATAGGAAACCTAACCAGGAAAGAAACACCTGGGAGTGTGTGTGTTGTCGCTGTAAGCAATGACACATAGATTAAAACAGTAATGAGATACCATAGGCAGGAATGGATAAAGCATGGACTCCAACTTTGGGTTCAAAGCCTTTCTCTATCCTTTATAAGCTTTGCATTCAACCATTTAAGCTTTCTGAGCCTCGGTTTCTTTATCTGTAAGGTGGGGATAATAACGTAGCACTTCACAGCGTTGTGAGGATTAAACAAGATGAGGTATACGAAGCATCTAACGCTGTGTCTAGAACAGTGTAAATGCCGATAAAGGCTAATTATCAAAGCCATCATGTAGCATTTTTACCCATTCAATTAGGAAGAAGTTTTGATCGATATTCAGTGTTGGCGAGCGGGTAATGCAATTTGTTCTTGTATACAGGCACACCTTGTTTTATTCTGCCTCGCGTATCCTGTGTTTGTTACAAGTTGAAGGTTTGTAGCAAACCTGCGTGAAGTAAGCCTTGCTGCCATTTTTCCAACAGCACGTGTTCACTTTATGTCTCTATGTTGCGTTTCAGGAATTCTTGGAGTGTTTCACTCTTTATTATGCCTGTTACAGTGATCTGTGATCAGTGATCTTTGGTGTTACTGTTGTAATTGTTGTGGGGTGCCATGAACAGCACATAAGATGGTGAGCTTAAGAGAAATATTGTGTGTCTTCTGACTGCTCCATTGATTAGCCATTCCTGTTTCTCTCCCCATCCTTGGGCCTCCATCTTCCCTGAGATAACAGTATGAATTTAGGCCTCTAAATGTTCAAGTGAAAGGGAGAGTCACATGTCTCTCACTTTAAATAAAAAGTTACAAATGATTGAGTTTAGTGAGGAAAGCATGTTGAAAGCCAAGGTAGGACAAATGCTTGAAGGAAATTAAGTGCTGTTCTGGTGAACACACAAATGGTAAGAAAGTGAAACAGCCTTATTGCTCATATGGAGAAAATTTAAGTGGTCTGGATAGAAGATCGAACCAGCCACCACATTGCCTTAAGCCAAAGCCTAATCCAGAGCAAAGCCCAACTCTCTTCAGTTCTGTGAAGAATGAGAGAGCTGAGGAAGCTACAGAAGAAAAGTTTGAAGCTAGCAGAGGTTGGTTCATGAGGTTTAAGGTGGAAAAAACTATCTTAGTCAGGTTCAATGGCTCATGCCTGTAATCCCAGCACTTTGGGAGGCTGAGATGGGCAGATCACTTCAGGTCAGGAGTTCGAGACCAGCCTCGCCAACATGATGAAACCCCATCTGTATTAAAAATACAAAAATTAGCTGGGTGTGGTGGCTTGTGCCTGTAGTCCTAGCTACTTCGGAGGCTGAGGCAGGAGAATCACTTGAACCTGGGAGGTGGAGGTTGCATTGAGCTGAGATTGTGCCACTGCGCTCCAGCCTGGGTGACAGAGCAAGATTCTATTAAAAAAAGAAAAGGCAGCAGCAGCCATCTCTATAACATAAAAGTACACGATGAAGCAACAGTCGCTGCTGTAGGAGCTGCAGCAAGTTATCCAGAAGATCTAGCTGAGACCATTGCTGACTGTGGCTGCACTCAACCACAGATTTTCTTCCTTGCCTTTTTCTTTCTTTTCTTTTTTGAGAAAGTCTTGCTCTGTTGCCCAGGCTGGAGTGCAGTGGGGCAATCTCAGCTCACTGCAACCTCTGCCTTCTGGGTTCAAGCAATTTTCCTGCCTTAGCCTCCTGAGTAGCTGGGATTACAGGTGCCCGCCACCACACCCAGCTAATTTTTGTATTTTTAGTAGAGACAGGGTTTCCCCATGTTGGTGAGGCTGGTCTGGAACTCCTGACTTCAGGTGATCCACCTGCCTCGGCCTCTCAAAAGTGCGGGGATTATAGTTGTGAGCCACCACACTCAGCCCAGATTTTCAACGTAGATGAAACAACCTTCGTTTGGAAGCAGATGCCATCTAGGACTTTTAATGCCTGGCTTCAGAGCTCCAAAGGACACATTGATTCTGTTGTTAGAGACTAATGCAGCCGATGACTTTAAGTGGTTTCAAAATAAATGCTTATGCTTGTTACCATTCCTAAAACCCTAGGGCCCTTAAGAATTACGCTAAATATACTCTGCCTTTGCCGTATGAGTGGGATAACAGAGCCGGGATGACAGTACGTATGTTTACAGCATGGTTTACTGTATATTTTAAGCCCACTGTTGAGACCTACTTCTCAGAAAAAAAGATTCCCTTCAAAATATTGCTGCTCAATTCAGTGCTCCTTCTTGGTTGGTAAAAAAACAACTAAAATACTACTCCTGGCCAGGTGTGGTGGCTCACGCCTGTCATTCCAGCACTTTGGGAGGCTGAGGCAGGCGGATCACCTGAAGTCAGGAGTTCGAGACCAGCCTCACCAACATGAAAAAACCCTGTCTGTACTAAAAATACAAAAGTTAACGGGGGCGTGGTGGCTCGTGCTTATAATCCCAGCCACTTGGGAGGCTGAGGCAGGAGAATTGCTTGAGCCCAGAAGGCAGAGGTTGCAGTGAGCCAAGATCACACCATTGCACTCCAGCCTGGGCAACAAAAGCAAAACTCCATCTCAAAAAAGTAAATAAATAAATAAAATATTACTCCTCATTGACAATGCACCTAATCATCCAAGAGCTCTGATAGAAATACACAAAATTAATGTTTTCATGCCTACTAACACAGCATCCATTCTACAGCCCATGGATCAAGAAGGAATTTCAACTTCCAAGTCTTATTATGTAAGAAATACATTTCATAAGGCTATATATAGCTATCATAGATGATGATTCCTCTTAGGGATCTTGGCAGAGTACACTAAAAACCTTCTGGAAAGGATTCACTCTTTTAGATGCCATTAAGAATATTCATGTTCATGGGAAGAGGTCACAACCTTATCAACATTAACAAGAATTTGCATGAAGTTGATTGCAACTCTTTTGGATGACTTTGAGGGGTTTAAGACTTCAGTGGAAGAAGTTAACTGCAGATGTGATTGAAATAGCCAGAGATCTAGAATTATAAGTGGAGCCTGAAGATGTGACTGATTTGCTGCAGTCTCATAAAACTTGAACGGATGAGGAAGTGCTTCTTGTGGATGAGCAAAGAAAGCAGTTTCTAGAGATGGAATCTACTCCTGGTCAAGATGTTGTGACCATTGTTAAAATGACAAAGGATTTACAAATACCACATAAATTCATTAAATCAGAAGCAGGGTTTCAGAGGATTGACTCCAATTTTTTTTTCTTGTTTTTGAGACAGAGTCTCGCTCTGTCGCCCAGGCTGGAGTGCAGTGGTACGAACTCAGCTCACTGCAACCTTGAACCCTCGTGGGTTCAAGTGATTCTCCTGCCTAAGCCTCCCAGGTAGGTTAGATTACAGGCACGTGCCACCACGCCTGGCTAATTTTTGTATTTTTAGTAGAGATGGGGTTTCATCATGTTTGCCAGGCTGGTCTTAAACTTCTAGCCTCAAGTGTTCCACCAGCCTTGGCCTCTGAAAGTGCTGGGATTACAGCGTGAGCCACCACACCCGGCCTATTGACTCCAGTTTTGAAAGAAATTCTACTATGGGAGCATCACATGATATAGAGAAATTTTTTGTGAAAGGAAGAGTCAGCTGATGTAGCCAATTTCATTGTCATTTTTTTTTGTCGTTCTTGTTTGTTTTTTGAGATGGAATCTCTGTCACCCAGGCTGGAGTGCAGTGGCACCATCTTGGGTCACTGCAACCTCCACCTCCACCTCAAGTGATTCTTCTGCCTCAGCCTCCCGAGTAGCTGGGATTACAGGTATGTGTCACCACACCTGACTGATTCTGTATTTTTAGTAAAGACAAGGTTTCTCCATGTTGGTCAGGCTGGTCTCGAATTCCCAACCTCAGGCGATGTGCCCGCCTTGACCTCCCAAAGTGCTGGGATTACAGGCACGAGCCACCATGCCTGGCCAAACAATTTTTATATGCATTGGAAAACCAAAAAATTAATGTGACTTATTGAGATAGTCACTTAATTGCAGTGGTCTGGAACTGAACCTGCAAAATCTCCAAAGTATACTGGAATATCATTAGAGACATTGTGAATTGGTATACATCTTTTTCGCTTTTTGTTTTAGAAACAGGGTCTTGCTCTGTTACCCAGGCTGGAGTGCGTAGGTGTGATCATAGTTCACTGCAACCTTAAATTTCAGGATTCAAGTGATCCTTCCACCTTAGCTTCTGAAGTAGCTGGGACTATAGGTTCATAGTACCATGCCTTGCTAATTTTTTTGTTTTTTGTAGAGACAGGGTCTGACTGTGTTGCCCAGGCTGACATATTTTCAAAAACAGTTTTGGAATATATATAAAGGATATTAACATAGTAATTTTTTTTTTTTTTTTTTGAGTCGGAGTTTCGCTCTTGTTACCCAGGCTGGAGTGCAATGGCACCATCTCGGCTCACCGCA